TCTCCATAGGAGAGAACTTATCTGCAAGGCAGCATCTAAATAATGTCAGGAGTATATAGTGGTTCCAACGGGATGAATAGACTTTATTATCATTTCAGAAAGGCCCTCTACAGATAGTAGTTGAAGTTATTATACTGACCTAAACACCAGGAAAATGTTTAATGCATGATCAAGCCTTTCTTGACCCGATACACCATCTTCCCTGGTAATTTGTAACTAAATCTCCTTTTTCTGTTTGGCCAAGAAGAGGAGGGGGAGGGTGAGGGTGATTTTTATGCCCAAGGAGCGGGAACAAGATCAATGACATAGATCCCACAGTTATATCCTCATGATAGATTATCTATGACTGTAATTTCAAAGCCCATGTTTCTTATGAAGTTGTAACACTTCAATGTTTAATAATTACGAAAACTATGTTAAGGCTACTATTTAGCAACCAACCTTTTGAAGAAATGGAAAAGAACTAGTAGTTACCTTAGTGGGAACAGAGCCACACCCGATGGAAACTAGAGTGTCAATCCTTGTGTCAGGCCACAAAAGCTGTGCTTCTCTTATGGCAAATATGGTAGGATTATTTGCCACTATTGCACCGTCTTGCCAGCGGTATGTATCTGAAGAATTGTTATCAGATAAATTAACCAAAATAGTGTTGTGAGAGAGCATCATCCTACAGTTAGCTTTTTTCTTTGGAAGATGAAGTTGAAAAAAAAAAGAAAAAAAGAGGGAGAAGATAAAAAGCTGAGGGGGAAAAAACAAGAAATTAGCTCCTTAGACAAGCAAAAGGGAATACCAACTGAGAAGTCATCAAGATAATAAGGAGCAGCAGATGATGCCCTTATTGCTTGCCATATATGATGCTTACAGCTTCCAATGAAAGCACTACGTTTGTAGCCAACTTGGGCACCAGTTGTAGGTGAACCCAGCGCAGTAATTCCTGAATTTTCTGAAATCGTGAAAGGAACTTCTGGTGTTCCAACAGGGTACTGCATATTGAGATTAAAAATGAAAAAATAAAACGAACAATAAAACACTAATTATTGTTTTTACAGTCAATGCAGCACTCAATATGGGCGTCGAGGAATAACACCCACAACTCGATAAATCCAAGATGCAGCAATAAAAAAAAAAGACAGGAAAACTATGAAGTTCAAACCTGATAATTGCGGAATATGAAAGGCTGAGCAGGCATTACGCTCACCAAAGTAGAAACAACAAAAACTTTAGGAATATTTTTCACTGCAGACTCAATTAACAGGTCCCCGTCTTCCTCAGCACACATTTCCTTCAACAACCTCTCAAATTCATCTGCACTGTGCTGCAAGAAAATATATTATAATGTATCCCAACATTTAGTACATTGAAATGACGTCTTATTTTTGCAACTTGGCTCCAACAAATCCACTCAGTCAAAGAAAAATAAAGTGGTCAAAATGACCATTCATGCAGTTGTAGAGGAAGCCTTTTCTTTCATTATAGAAATCTGTAGAGGAAACCATTGGTTAGTTTTTTAAAAAAAAAAAATTTTTAATCAAGAAGAAACCATTAATTAGAATTAGTAACTCGCCAGTAATAAACATTGACACATCCAAATGGACACTCTAAACAATAATAATATCTTGTACTAATTTATCTGATAGGTATGCATGCCTTATGTGTGTATATATGACAAATTCAAAGCAAATATGGCAGCATTTATAGTAGTATTGGAGAAAGAAAAGAATGATGAGAAGGAACAACCACTATCTATACCTTAGATCCATGTACAACAACTCTAAAACTCTGTGACGAACTCTTATAAAGTTGATCTAACTTTTCTCTCCAAGTTGCAGCTTCGTTGTCCTTTGGTACAGATTCAGCAAAAACAAGTTTCCCTAAAAACCAATATTTGGAATTATAAATAAATGATATTAGCAACAAGTACAGCAAAAAAGTTCCAATTTAATGTAGTATACTCACCAAGATTTTTGTATATTTCTTCACATTGGTCCAAAGTCATAAGCTTCATACCAAGGGCAACAGCCAGCATGCCACCCGTTGACGTGCCACAAATGAGGTCAAACAACTCATGGATCCGTTTTCCAGTTCCCTTTTCAATTTCTTTAAGCATCTGAACGGTTGCTAGACCTTTCATGCCACCTCCATCCATTGAGAGTATGCGCAACCCTTGTTTGGGAACATGTCTTCCCTTTATGGCACGCCGCAGATTTTCATTTTCCCCTGTGAAAGCAAACAACAAAAAAAGAAAGGTTCTTGTTATGCTGAAGAATCAAGAAATAAAGTAGAGATTAAGTGCAAGGAAGATACCAAGAATCGCCAAAGCACGAGCTGCAGCTTTATTCACACGTGTTTCAGTTGTAACAGTCAATCGCAACAAAAGTTCCCGCAAACTTTCTGAAGTTACCAAAATGCGACGATTTTCTAGACAGAAAGCCAGATTTCCAACTGCTAATAAAGCTAGCCTTTGTACCTAATCACAGATAAACTTACAACAATAATTGAGCCAGCATTACAAGCTAAGCAATTGATATGAGGAATTTATGATATCCAAGCATAGAACTTGCCTCCGGGCTTTTATGGGCACACAACAATTTCAAGGATTTCAATACATCTCTAGTCAACATCTTCTGCGCAACATTATCAGATGCAAAAGCCAAGGTCACCACGACTTGCAACACAGAAATCAGCTCTTCTGGGGCAAAAGACTTTAACACAGTTTCAATGGGTTTCATTATATCACATTTCATTAACTGCATTGCAACAGAAATATCTCCAGCAAGAGATGATAAAGCGGAACTTGCTTGTTCTACCTGCAAAATGATATAGTTATGAAGACAGAGACTCGGAAGGGAAAATAATAAAACAAACAAGGTGGTTTTACTTATCATAGCAGCAAAAATAACCAACCTACCACATGACGATTGTCACTACTTATCATACTTATAAGCTGCCGTATCGCATTCTCATCTTTACCAACAACAACACGATTCCCTTGATCTTGCATTATCTTTGCCAAAGCAGATGCCAGCAAAGGATGGTGACAAGAAGAAAAACGGAATATAAGAGAAAAGAAGGCACTCAGCTTGTGTCGCGATGCACCAAAATAAGAACTATTCTCCATCTACAGTCATCAAAAATAAATTTTAACTTGAAGAATTAATAACTGAAAGACACAAAGCCAGAGTAGACTTCTCTTATTGCCATATTTCACTACTACCTCAATTTGTACATTTACAGATCTCAGGTTTTCGTCTGCCACGATCCTGATGTTTGCTAACGACAAGTGGCGAAGCTGGTGTAGTGGTAAAATTTCTGGAAGGAATTCAAGGGGATTACCAAAGAGCCTGAGAATTTGTAATTCAGCCATAGCCCTGTCATCCAGCTGGAAAGAGAAATTAGTATCTAAGAGAGATTCTAAATTTTATATTTATAGTTCAGACATGGGAGGATACAGAAACAGGAAGTACAAGCTAAAAGAAATGCCTCTAAAAGAAAATGACCTGAAATCAAGAAGAGGCCGCACGAGCTTGTTGTGCTCCAGTGACAACTCCACAAGTCCGACACACTGTCTCAGTTCCACTGTTTACAAGTGCTAAACAAAATTAGTTCAGAGAACAACTTAGACTAAATGCAAGCTGTTTACGAAATGGGGTTTTCACTCTGTTTAAGGTCACAGGATAAATTGAATTAATAGCCGATGCTTACCCGGAACAGAAACCAGCATGTTGTTATCAACAGTGAGAACTTTTAAGTTTTTCATCTCTCCAAGTTCAGGTGGCAAAACTGAGAGCTTATTGTTGTCTAGGTATAGCTTCTCAAGAAGTGGCAATCGAGTTAGCTCAACTGGAAAGACCTAGGGAAGTAGGCATCAGTACACAGTGTCAATCTAAACTGCTCTAGTTCATACAATCCAAGCAAGAAACTATTGTAATTAAACTTCTCCCATATCAAGTACTTTTATTAATGGCAGTTTAGTCATATTTTTCGTAGTCACATCACTTACAAGCAAGTAGCTTGCAAGTGATGGAAAAACTCATATTGAATGGTAAAAATAATCAATTTGATAAAGATGGTGCATGATTCTATTAGTGAAGGAAGATTGTTTTTTTTTTTTTTGAAATAATAGTGAAGGAAGATTGTGGATTTTCAATATTATGGATTTGAACATATGTTCATTTTTCTCTCGAAAAACTAACCAGATAGATTGTTTTGGCTCAACTGTTCAAAGGCCTCACCTTTCAGGTGCATGAAAGAAGTCTGAGTTCAAAGTTATAATCTTTCTGACACTTAATGTAACTCTCTCTCATTAATGTAACACTTAATGAAAAAAGCCTTCTAGTTTCTAGAAGGCCTAGACATAAGAGAGACGAAATTTCGGAGCCTAATATCTATCTTATCCTACATTTTCTCTATATTCAAACAAATTCCAACTACCTATCACTATACATGTAAAAGCTCATCGTTTCATAAAACAATCCCACCAAACTTCAAACTTTTTCCAATCAGAAAACAATTGAGTGTCGAATAAAAAAAAAACTAACCAGCAAACCGCAACCACAAAGGCTAAGTAAGGTCACAGTCCTCCAATGCTCCCCGCAAACCCAGGCCCCACCATCCACAACAGGAGAAGGGCCCGCCACTGGCGTCAGATTGGACCTCAACAACCTCGTCAAGACCCCGACCCCGTCGTTCTGCTGCCCCGAACCGGCCATCTTCGCCATCATCACCGCCCTCAGAGGATCCCTCCTCTTCTCCACCTTCATCTCCACCCCCACATTCCCTTCACCTTCTTTACGTTCTCTGAGTTCAACCACCACGGCATCTTGCGGCACAGGGAGCGCAACCATCAGGTGCGACTGCAGTTTCAGAGCCACCTGGTCCTCGTCATCACCGGTCGTCCAATCCAGATCAATCCGGAAACCTAGCTCCGGATCTTGCGTCTGATACAAAGACGAGGAGGAGGAGGAGGAGGAGCCCAGCGAGGACGATGACGATGAACGGTTGAGATCGTCAGCGAACTCCTCAGTCCCGTAGTTGAGACTAAGGCGGAAGATATCCGAGGAGCGCTTCCAGCCCAATCCCCAAGACATTGTGACTGAACGGCTAGAAATGCTCCTGATCAAACTGCCCCGTCCTCTACTGCGGAGTTACATGAAGAAGACGATCGTGGATCATCAAGAGAATCCGTAATTGAACAATGAAGATGGTAACAATCTCGAAGTAAGAACAAATGTATATTAGGATTAGGGTTTAGAGTTCAAGATCCGAAGATTAAACTAATGGCGGGAGGATTAGAGAGGAACTGAAAGAGGTTAGAAGAAGATGGCTCTCCAAGGACACGTTTTTTTTTTTTTTTGTCAGCTCTCAGATTCAGTAAGTTATCGGCGTATTTTATAGTTTTTTTATATGGTTGAATCAACGACGTCGTTTCGTGCAGAAACGACGTCGTTACGTTCCTTCGCTGTGTGTGAAGTTGCTGTACTCGTTTTGTTAAACGTCGTCGTGTATCTTCCGTTTTGGGCTGTTTCGGTCTCAACGTGCTTGTTTTCAATATGAACCATGACTCCCATTTTCATCTTTAATCAATTCATGGTTTTGATTCCATTTAAATAGATGAAAAGAACGGCAAAATCCCTTTTAAAAAAATGTAATTAATTTAATTAATAAACTTAATTGAATTAAATATAAATTATAAAAATTAAAACTTGTTACTTTATAAATATATTATATGTTAACAGTAAATTATTTATGATATTTGATTAGCTTATATCACTTATATATTCATAAAGTCATAATGACTAATTTGAGTTTAATTTTAATAAATTTATTACGTTTTTTATTTTAAAAAAATTAAAAATTTTATGAGTTAGAATATTCACAAAAAATTAACACTTAAAATAATTTTTTTATTTACATAAAAAATTATATAAGTAATCAAAATAAAACTTCTAATTTATTTAGCTCGTTTAAACTCTAATTTTAATGTAGTTCAAATCCTACATTATAGTAAAAATACAATTCTAATAAATAAATTTACATTTACAAAAATTTATCTACGTGCCCTTAAACTCTATTCTCACGAATAACTTACCAAAATTTTTAGAAAAACTTTTTTTTTCATAAGAATATTATAATAAATTTAATCCAATATTAATTATAAATACTAACTTTCTAATTAATAAAAAAAATCAATATATTCATAAAACACTAAAAAGTTAACAATTCTAACAAAATATTTATAAGATTATTAAGATCTCGTCGTAATACAAGACTTAACTTCTTATCAAAAAATTTAGAGTTTGAAACCATGAATTTTTAAAATGATTAGATTTAAATCCTCCGAACTTCGATTCATTGTCCTTAATCTTTTATTCATCTTTTTTCCAATAGTCCAAAATGAGGCAATAGGAGTGCCTGATAAAGCGATTCTCACTTTGAGTATCCTTCGATGCTCGGATCGCGTCTCTCACTGTATCTGCAATAACCCAACTCAATCGCAATAAGCTATATGCTAAAGATCAGAGCCAGCACACAAATGATAGCAGATGAGGATGTGATTACATATCTCCACACCACTTTCACACAAGTAAACAGTCATTCACCAAAATCTTTTCCCTCCTAATCAATTTGTTCCACACTGCTTCTTATGTGGAAAGAAAAAACACTCAAGGAGTTGCTTCACCTTCCAAATCATCTCCAAAAGGAACTTATCAATGCACCCCCTCCTTTAGTCAAATGCCCATAATATGACTTCATTGAGAAAAGTCTCTTTGAATTCGAACCCAAATAGGTCTTTTCCCTCCTGATCAATTTGTTCCACACTGCTTCGTATGTGAAAAAAACCCAGTCTAGAGTCGCCTTCACCTTCCAAATCATTTTCAGAAGGAACTCACTAATGCACTCCCTCTTTTAGTCAAATGACCATCATATGACTTCATTGAGAAAAGTCTCTTTGAAATTCAAACCCAAACAAGTACATCTTCAATTTCATTGGAGGCCACTACTGGAGAAAGCAGCTTGAGAATATTCATATATTTGTCAACCTCTTCCAGGGAAATCTGAGTAGGCCTCTTTACAGACACACCTTTATATTGGACAATAGCAAAAACTGTGGGAAACTGCAAGTGCAAAGTCCCTCCTACCACACAATCATCCTTCAAAAAACTCACCCTCCGCTGCGAGCCAATTTTCCATCTGATGTATTCTTCACATTCCTTTCCCTTGATTGATACCCTTCCATATCCCAGAGTCATATGGACCCCTCAAATTTAAGCTATACCAATCATATGATCTAATCCATACTTTGCCTTCGTCACCTTCCTCCAAAAACTCTCTCTCCCACATGAACCTACACAACTACTTCTCTTAAAGAGCCGAGCTCAACTAAACCAGGGATCTCATCCCCAGTCCACCCTACTGAATAGGTTTCGCTTCCCTTTATCCCACACCACCAAGTGAGACCTTCTCTTTTCATCTGAATCACCCCATAAAACTCGACATTGAATCCCTCTAACCTCTTAGCCACACTCCTCACTGTAACTATGGCTTAAAAGTCAACAACTTTTGAAAATTATAATCTAATAGCTACAATACTAATGGTTACACTTAATATCTTAAGCTCAAAATTGGAGCAAATCCATACTTCTTTACAGACCATAAAAGGTCTTGAAGTAAGACCTACAAAAAAATAATGTCAACTCAGCAACAGAGTCTTATCACCTCAGTCCACAGGCCCAGGGCCAGGACATAGAACAATCATAATCTGGATACGACTTGAACTCAGACTAGAATTCATCCTGAGGGACTCACAATGGACCTGAAACCCAAACATAGAACTCCAACCAGAGAAATATTTTACAATCCAATGTGTTAGCATACCTAACCAATCCTTATCAGATAAACTACTTAAATTTTTCGAATAATAACATACAAATGGTTCTACACAAAAATTTAGTTACAAACTGATGGATAATTCAATTTACGCATTCAATTTTTTTTTTTTGTGTGTGTTAATAGGAATACCATGTTATATAATGCTTTGTTTCCCTTTGGTGAACATGAAAGAAGAATCAGATGCACAGCATGCAATCAATAAAAACTTGTTATAATCCATAATTGGGATTTTTAATTAATTGAGAAAGTACACAATACAGTTTTAACTCTGCCAATGTAAAATGCTGCATAAACCAAAGTTTAATTTCTAACATCATACAATCCACCATCCAGACCTGACTAATCAAATAGACAAAAGCTCAACAGCCTGCAAAGTTAATATCAAAGCTATCAGCTGATCTTGGAGATAGACAGTGAAGAGATTTTACATCCGAACCGAGTAAACAAATTCAATACCTGGCTCTAACCATACAACAAGGAGGTGCACGTGCCCCTCAAGATGCCACCGGTCATGAATCCAAGTTCTTTGAGGCTGAAACAAATATTGCTTTCAAGTCCTCTTTAACTTCATCATCTGCAAATATATAGTCAATTGCGCTCTCTGCTAGACAAAACATTTCTCTTTCACCAAGACCTTGCAATAAGTCAAGGGAATAAGGATTAGAAATGACCAAGCTATTTGACCATAAATCCTCCATTCAATAGCAACACTAATACCCACCAAATGCTGAAGCGGCAAGACTGTACTCCTTAGAAAGACTAGTAGAGAAAACTCCTGTGTCATCAGTACACAGGACTAATGGATGCTTTGCTTTATACAGGTCAGCTGCAGCCATCAATATAATGTGTTAGAATGACTACATTTCCTCACTTTTATTTCAAAAAAAATAATGTGTTAAGAGTGACAAATCAAAGACTTATAGCCCGTATAATTGTAGAAAACTCTTATTTTTCACTTTAATCTCTTATATATTTATACATAAAAATCTTCAAGTTAAATCAAAAGTTAAAGATCTAACCAAAATGGTGTATATCTATTGAAGAAATTGTTTCAGTCCTGATGTTCGATGTCAAACAGATCTCAACCTGCAAATAAAGAGATAAATGTTCAAAGAAAGAAAATATTTGTCAGGACATATACCACATCCAGAAAATTTCTGACCCATGGTGTAAATTCTAAGAAAAAACTCACAAACTTTTTGCAGAATCAAGAGGTTTGCCGGATAAACAAGATATAGCTTAAGATAAACTAAAAGTTGCATATTCATGGTAAAACTGAGTTAACAAAGAGTAACTATAGTAAAAGAAACCTAGTTATTATAGCAGGACTACCATTGCAGAATGTCCCAGCAAAACTAGAGTGACAGCTATAGCACTCATTTATGATTCTCTGCAGTATTGAGCAATAATTGGATCCTACCACAACACAGCTAAAATTTATAGGACAAAAATCTAATAAACTACACAACCTCTGAGAGGAGAAAAAAGAAAATCTCACTGATCAATCATCCAAGTAAACAGGAAAACTTTCGATGGGTAAAGTTGACGTACAAATCGAAGGTTAAACATCCCTAATGTATCTAACCCTAATTGGGCTCCATTGAAGGTATTGTTAACTAACCTGTTCCAATGAGTACTATTGTCATTTACTAGAAAGAGAATAATAACAAAATGGGTTATAAGTATCTAACTGGAATTTTGGATGATTTCAACATTCTCCACTCCTCCTCTCCAAAGCAACAAGCATGACCAATCCTTTGCGGGAGGAAATTAAGCATTTCTTGTATCTCCTTTGGATTAGGTACCTAAAAGCACTAAGATATAAAAGTAAACTAGTCAGGGTAATTCCATTTACGGCAGAGAAAAAAAATACACATATATGCTGAAAAAGATGGGAAGTAGAAAGAAAGATGCACCTCCCCACAGTGAAGAGTGATATAAAGGCCATGATCCCTAGCTAATTTTAGTGCTGGCAAGAATGTACTCCTGTATCAAATTCAAACAACCATTTGAAGTAACAAAATTATTAAAGAACAAAGAATTTGCGACTTATAAACAACCAATAACTGCTGACAAATACTTTGTACCAAATAAAATGAAAGGGAAAAGGTGATCGATTGACAGCAGTACCATTCACCTACAATAGGATTTCCAGAGAGGTCAATACCAACTATCCCTAACCCTAAATCTCTCATTTCGAGCGCCAGGTTAACCTATACAAATGCAAATACTCATTAAATGACATGCCAACGACTGAACATTGTATGAATTCTGAAACATCTAATTAATCCAACCAAGATTTTCTAACTTACGGTCTCCATTGCAGCCTCAGTAGTCTCTCTACGGTCAATGCTAAGCAGAAGTCTAACATATATCTTCTTTCTAACAGTTCCATTACATGCAACGTGAGTAGTTTGAAGATTTACAGGACTCCCGATGTTCAAATTAGGAGGGAAATCAACATCGACTTGGTTGACAGCTCTCAAACCCTCCAACACTGCCTCCATGTAAGACCTTTTGCTCATTCCAATTGAATCATTTCTCTATACAAAATAATAACCCATAAAACCTCCATCTGACGGAATTCTATACTTGTTCAAAAAAAAAAAATTAAAAGCTGAAGAACCTTTGGAGTTGTTCTTAGCTCTAGATAGACAACATTCTCGGATGCAAAATCTTCAATAACCTGTGTTTTGAAACACCGGTTAGAAACGGGGGCAATCAATTGGAAATTGATTGAAGAACAAAGATACTATGAACTGAGAAATGGCCGAATGGGCATACTTCTTTGGTGATCCTGGTCACTGTTTTATGGTCGGTGGTAAGAACGTGGATCAAATCGAACAACTTGAACACTTCATGTAAAGAACGGTCATCTGAATTGAACAGATCAAATTACCAAAACAAAAAACAGTATAAAATGGGGAAAGTTGGCGTTCCCCTGATAATATCTCAAAATTACATCATCTCCTGAGAAAAAAAGGTTGAACCGAGATAGACAAACACCGTGACAGAGACATGTAAATATCGTACCAAGCAAAATAAGCTTACAGAAAAGAGAACGATATTGATGAAAATGTAAAACCAGAGCTTGATTCCTTCTCTTGCTCATGATTATTTATGTTCTACTTGGCAATCAAAAGGAATACCTTTCATGATAACATGCTCCACATCTGAGAATACTATGACACCCTTTTCACCCAGAACTCTAGCAAGCTCTCTGTCAAAAAGCCCAATAACACAAAGATTACAAACATCAGACGAATCTCAAGAAAAATCAAGAAAACAAACAATCTACCCATGGGTATTCAAGATTAAAAAGCTGAAAAAGGCACGTGTTTAGTAGGTCCGAGAAAGGGGAAGGAGAATATGAATAAGAAGCGCTTACATGAGCGTAGAGTCTCTAATGGAGCCGTTGAGGTGAGCGTGTAGCTCAACT